TTAAGCCTAACGATGCCGCGGACGGACGGACCCGAGCCCCCCCCCATTAATTAGGGGAGCACCCTAACTAATTCAGCTCAGCTAACAGAAAAAGGCCGGATCCGGGCTGGGAAAAAACTGGATTTAATCTCCCTGGGGATGCGTGGGGGGGAGTCAGGGGGTATTTCGGGGAGCCACCGCCCACGCCGATCGATCCCGAGGGATCCCCCTAATCCTTGGAATAATCCCGGGAGACGTAGACGCTTTTCCCGTCGTAGCAGGAGGTGTGGAGGCAGCGCAGGAGGAAATGGCCGAGGTCGTGCGTGGAAATAACCCGGGAGCCTCCGGATGCGCCCACCGTTACCGTGTAATCCCCCGTCAGCGGCTGGTCCTCTGCCGGATAACGGGAGACACGGATAATGGGGGAGACCGGGATAATGGGGAGATACGGATAGCGGGGGAGAGTATGATAATGGCGATAGTGGGATAATGGGGGAGAGCGGGATAATGGGGAGACTGGGATAATGGATAGCAGGATAACCGGGAGACTGGAATAACGGGGATAATGGGATAACAGGGGAGAGCAGGGTAATGGGGGAGACTGGGATAACAAGGGAGACTGGGATAACAAGGGAGACTGGGATAACAGGACAACAGGGGGACTGGGATAGTGTGGAGACTGGGATAATGGGATAGACCAGCATAATCAGGGATAGCAGGATAATGGGGGGACTGGGATAATGGGGGTAGTGAGATAATGGGGGAGACTGGGATAACGAGGGAGACTGGGATAATGGGGAGACCAGGATAATGGGGGATAACAGGACAACAGGAAGACTGGGGTAATGGGGGATAGTGGGTGATAGCAGGATAATGGGGAAACTGGGATAATGGGGGATAACAGGGAGACTGGGATAACAGCAGAGAGTGTGATAATGGGGAAACTGGGATAATGGGGGAGGGTGAGATGAAGTAGGATATGAGGGATAAAGTGGGATACGGGGATAAAACGGCATACAGGGATAAAATGGGATGGAGAGATAATGGAATAGGGAAATAAATAGGGTATGGGCATAAGATGGGATATGGCAATAAGATGGTATTTGGGGATAAAATGGGATGGGGGATAACGTGGGATACAGGGATAATATGGGATATAGGGATAAAATGGGATGGGGGATAGAATGGGATATGGGGATAAAATAGGATAGGGGGTAGAATGGGATATGGGGATAAAACGGGATACAGGGATAAAATGGGATAGGGGATAAAGTGGGATACAGGGATAAAATGGGATGGGGGATAAAATGGGATATGGGGATAATGTTGGAGATGGGAATGAAATGGGATATGGGGGGAAAATGGGATATGGGGGATATAATGGGATACAGGGATAAGCTGGGGTACTGGGATAAAATGGGACAGGAGGTTAAAATGGGATAAAACCTGCCTCCCCCCCATTTTTGGGGTGCATTCCCCCCTGCTCGTACCAGCGATGTGGGGGGGCATGACGTAGACACAGTCGAGCCCTGAATCCTGGAGGATACGGTGCATGCGGATGTGGTCCTCCGTCACCGGCACCAGCCGGGGGGGCACCTTCTGCAGGTCCCACAGCAGGAAAGCTGTGAGGGGGGAAAGTGGGGGGTCAGAGTAGGGGACCCCCATATTTTTTGGGGGATGACAACGATGATGACATTGGGGACACCCACCTGAGAGGCAGGCGACCACCTTGCGGACGCCGTGGGTCTTCATGGCCGTCACGATGTTCTTGGTGCCTTCAGACATCACCGTGGTGGGGCCT